CCTGACCTGGATCCGGATCCAGATACTCTGTTGTGGTGGGAGGCCACACCGAGCCGCAGGAGGTCCTCTGGGAGAGTAAAGAGCCAACAGTAAATAAGCACCACATATAAAAACATGTTCCAGCTCTCTGACATCTACATGGGAAAAACACGTTCACATGTGTTAAAAACAACATGAAGGACAATTAAAGAACAATAAGTAACATGTAGAAAAATAACTACAAACATACTAACAAAAGTATGCAGAAAAACTTCCCCTCAGGAACATGTTACACATGTATGAAGGTATTCTCCCAGTTTAAATATATTTGTGACTGACTAACATACGGATATTGAACTCTGAGATTTTTGATGAGAGGCGTGGATACAAATGTGCATCCATGCCTCCAATCTGGTGCCTACAACTCATGATGGGAAAGACTCTTAGTATGCCTCAAGCGGTTTTATTTAATCTAGTCTTTAGAAACTGAATTATATGGATTTTAAAATCTTATGGAAAATAGAAGTTTTTTTCACACTTTACACTATTAATTGGTTTAAAAAGCACAGTTTCACACGAGTCTCTTGCATTTTACACATATAAAACCCATGATTTAAAAAATTTTTATTTTATACCTTAAATAAAAAGTATCCATGAGTTTTTCAGATGAGGGCAAGTATACGATACATTTGTGCCAAAAATGGTAAGAATAAATTTAAAGTTTTCTTCAACCAATTAAATTTCAGATTTGCCCCACGGGACCAGCTAGTGGACCCACTCCTACATCAGCATTTTCTGTCCTCTGATTGGTCAGTTAGAGCAAAATGTTTTTAGCCAATAGCAACAATCTGCATTTAAGATTTGCTTTTGTAAAAATTCTTTTGGCCTCAATGGCTGATACTAAAACTTCCTGCACAAAAACAGAATAATGAATTTAGCTTAACAATAATCAGCATCTCTGCTGAGTGTAATATATTTTATTTTAATGCTTTATGCGCTATTTTATCTGGTAATTGGATGCATATTGAATCTGAACAGCTAATGATGATGTTAAAGTTGAAGAGCTCTGGTTATAGAGTAAAGAATTGTAGTTGTCTTAACTGGTTTTCTTGCTTAATTGATCTCTGTATTAATCTTCATGCTAATCTTCCTCTCATTTATACTTGCGCTTGTTACATTTTATATTTGGATACTATTAGGGGCTTCTGTTATTGAAAGGCGAAATGGTGATATTACCTACTTGACACCCATCGTTGCAAATTGTCTATATATATATATATATATATATATATATATATATATATATATATATATATATATATATATATATATATATATATATATATATATATATATATATATATATATATATGTGGACGTTAAGGGATAAAAGGTAGATTAAGCCGAGTGGTGCCCGCTGAAGCCCTAGGTACCATATTTACCTTTCCACCCTCTGCAGACTTTTACACCCTGTTTGTAAAAAGGAGCGCTACAGCCGGTCATTCAGCCGTGCTGCAACCAGACTCTACAATGCGACAATACAACGGCAATAACTTGTGTAATGTATAAAGTGCAATGCACAATTTGATACCCTGTGCAATAACCTGTTTTTCTATATCTGACACCAGTGCAATAACTATATATATAAATATTCATCTATATAAATACCCATGTAAAAACCCTGTGCAAAAACCCTGTATGATAATCCTACTATTAAAAAAGCTGTTATATGTGGACGTACTGTATATACTATATATATATCCTATACACCTTTTTCTTCTTTTTAAACATTCTTTTCCTATTTGAGCTCATGTAACGAGTAAATTTCTCCACTGTGAGATCAATTAAGTCAATCTTTTAATGTGCGTATGAATATTCAATGTATATGTTGTCTGCCATTCACTTCTTCCGAAAAAGAATTAATCTGAAAAAAAATAATTTTGACATGAAATCACATGTTGTAAAATGTAAATGTATTCATGTGAAATTCTTGATATTTTCCCTAAGGCTACCTTCAAGGTCCAGGTCATAGATGGGGAAGTGCAAGGATTCACTGTCTGATGGCGTTTCTATGGCGTCCAAATCAAAATCCAGCCCTGTGTCCTCTAGATCTTCTGGTGAGGGGGAGAGGAAGGCTGATTGTAGGTTGTCAGAGGTTATCGACCCACTGCCACCTGAAGCAGAAGTAGAATAATCTTTAAGTGTCCGATTCAAAGATGGCACTCTGAGAGCATGGCAATTGATAGCAGAGGGAGCAGTTACGCCATTTATTAAAGCATTAGTGTATTACCTAATGACAGACTCAGAGCTGGAGCTGCTAACACTTTCTTCTTCATTTGTCGTTCCCCTGTCAGAGGCAGGCTGTTGGGGGGAGCTGCACACATAAATCATCAGGATGTTTAGTTAAATTATGCATACATGACACCCAAACCATAAATAAATAAGTATATTTCTATATTTCTATTATACCAAACATTTAACATCAATTTATATGATTTATATGATTAATCACTGGATTATATATGTATATGCAATCTGTTTTCCTTAGATAGAAAACTTTAATTAATTTGATTGTATGATCTGGTGAACTGTAAAGTGCCTTGAGATGACTTGTGTTGGGAATTGGTGCTATAGAAATAAACTGAATTGAATTCACCCACCCCCATAAGACATTTTTATCGATAAAAGCACAGCAGGATTGTAAAGTTTCTAATGAAGTGTCCTGAAGAGTAAAATAAAACAGACACCTAAACGTTCCCCCTGTGTGTGTTTTGGTCATCATCACACTAAGCACAAGAATCAATCTTATAAGCTAGTATTAATCAACATTATGGTTATTCTGCTTTTCCAAAGAGTTTTTTAATCTTCATCCATTCTGTTCTGCTTCAACATGTTTACTGAGGTTTTGCTGCAGCTCCACAAAATGCAGTAGGATTAATTGACTGCAAGCAAATAAAGTTATAGAAAAAAAATACATACAAATTAATGTAATTGAATGAACTTTATTTGTGTCCCTTATGTGATGTGACTAGAAATGTGTGTGTATGCGGAGACTTGACTTTTTGGGGTAGATATTATTAAATATTATTTTGATTACTTAAAAGCACAATGGGAAAAAAAGACAGCCCTATCATTTTGTTTTTATGGGGGATAGATTAAAATTCCCAAAATTTTAATGACCAGTTAACCTAACGACTCTCTTTTTTCTGAGGCATAAGCCAGTATCGTGTATTGGAGGCTATCAAAGACCCCAACGACTCCACATTACTGAAGGGTGTTCTTCCGGTTTAATTTGCATATTTTCTGAGCCATAACAAAGCTCTGTTGGGCTACTCTATAAAGCTTGGAACTCAACGCTTATCCACACATTTTTAACTAAAAGTGCTTCCTGGAACGGAAGTGAAACATCTTCAACTTGGAAAACAAAGTCCAGGGGTTTGTTTTTTAACATTTTAAACTTTTTTGAAATGACTATGACCTGAAAGACTGAGAATCTTCACCAACATAGAATTCATTTCATAAAATTTTTCAATTTATCCACTACACTTCATATTGGGATTAGTCCTAGTCGTACCTGTTGGGGTTGTTGGAATAGAACTGGATGCATTTTCAGCATATTCGGGGGTGGTTTCAATGTTTTCATCTTCCTGGTTTATTCTGGGCAAACATACAGTAGGTGAAGAGGTTAGAAAAAAATTACACTTTTTTTTTTTTAAGAGATTTTTGCAGATCAAACATTTGTATTTATAATGTCAAAGGAAATCAAAAGTCTTGGTGTGAAATTTTACCTGCAGGCTTCTTCTTCAAGTTCTTCTCCTGCGGATTCCATGACGCTTCTGTTTAAAAGGACAAATCACGAAACAGAAAGAAAAATGCAGATTTTTTTTTGTTTCACTTGGATTCAGAGAGCACTGAAACAGCTGGTTAGTCTGACTGGAGCTGTTACTTCAAAAGGAAAACAGTTATGCTGGCAGCTTTGGCCTCACCTTCTCAAACCTGTTTTCAGTAAACAAAACATCTAAACCAGTTTATACACTCACAGGTTTACATACTCGCATCTTGGGATCTTTATCTTTTTTTTTAAATCTATTCTGTTTCATATTAAAAATAAGATCTGGATGCAGAGTTTGCAGTTTTTGTTTCTCCCAGTCTAGATGGCAAAAAGCCCCACATACAGTATGTACTCGGCTACAGTTAACTGCACGTCCCAGTTTGTCGATTTAGCCCTCAGTGTAAAACGTAAACAAAGCTATATTAACCCGATCACGCTGTTTTATATCCTGATTTAATCAGATTTTTGTTGTAGCGTTGTGCATAAAAACAAAATATCCTTCACTAGGACCGTAACACACATTAGGTTTTAAAAACAAAAATTGCATGTCCGTTTGATGAGGATCTTATTAAAAGATTATCTGCACTTTTTCACAGAGAATTAAATATTTATAGGGAGAGGATTCTACAACTCAGTTGACAGGGCATCTTGTTTCTTGATTGTTTAATATGAGCAAGATGTGGATCATTTAATTTTCATTTAGTTCTATTTACAGTACATTAAGAACTACTGAAATTATTTTCAGATTACACATAAATAGATTCACTGATTCCGTGTGGGAAAAGGAATTACTTTAGGGTTAGGATTAGGATTCACTCGATGATAAACACTAAATGAGTCTACTGGCACAATCTGAGCCATTCTATGGGACTGATAGCCGCAAATAACAACCATTTATTGGGATTATAACATTTGAAGCACAGCTGCAAACAGCCCCTATTAACTGTATAAAAGAAGACTGAATCAACATGAGGAGGGACCAATAAGATAATGCAAAGGTTCTATATATTAGAACTACGTTTTTATTCTTCATCCTCACCTGCTGCCAAAAGATTTCACCTAAATATTGATCTGCAACCATTTTCGAAATAAACCCGTAATATTTTCACTATTTCAGCTATGGCAAGCCATTTTGATGTGTACTAGTTTCACTGAATATGTATTTCTGATTGTTTTTATAATCATCATTTCAAACAAAGTGACATTTTCCACATCTAGAATAAACATTCTGGATGTCTATAAATTTATTTCAGATCTTCATTTTCCTAATATTACTGGTCAGCATTTCTATTATTTTAACTATGAAAAAATGTTTTTCAGATAACACAAAAGCATATTCAGTCAAGCTGATAAAGGTCAGAACGGTCAATTAAAATGTGTAAATATCTCTAGATATATAAAACCTAATTCTTTCTGCTACAAAAATGTAATTTAGAAGTTTTTTTTATCACAGTTGTGTCTAGGAGTGTGCTTTTATTAGGAAGAATATTGTTTTAGTGATCTACAAATAGAAAAACAGAGAGGAGTGCTTTTAATAAATGTAAAAACGGCCTGCCATATCCCATAGCCCACTTTATACAAACTTATGCATTAACATCAACAATCTTCCTCTTCACCACCTTCCTCTCCTTTGTAGCTGTAGGGCTGTTTCTCTGTCTTTAAAACACATTCTCCTTTTTTATTTTATTTTTTTGCATTTCTGCTTTAAAATATCTAGTTCCAGTGGGGGTGACATAGGAACTTCCTGTTTCCTGTTGTCATGGTGACTCGTCGAATTGGTGCTCCAATGATAATGGCTTTTCTTACTTGTTAGGCACACGCTTCACTCTGAGTGGATGTAGTAAAAATTGACTGAACTAATTGATAGCTGCCGTTATGAAACCGAACACTCAGAGTTCCCAACTTTACGCTAAATCAATTTAGAGTTGCGGATTCTAATCTGAATTTGTTACACCTGCTTCGTGAAACAGAGGCCTGATCTCAAACGGAAAGCCATGATAACACTGCTTTGGGTTGGGAGCTGTTTATTATTTGTAGCTATTGATTCTGTTTAACTGTTTTACTACTCTTAGTAATATCAACATAGTTCATCTAAAATGTATTCACATTGCAAAGAGGTCGTTTCTATTCCAAAACCAGTTTTGACATTTGTTTGGGATCATTGTCCTGTTGGACCACCTGATTAGAGGCAAAGTTTTAACTATCTGGAAGTTTATTTGGGGCTAAATTTGAAGAACAGAGGTAGTCCTCCTTTATTATTCTATATACTTTGTGTAGTTCCACAGCATGATGCTACCACCGCCATGCTTGACTGTTGGTTGAATGTTTTCAGGATAACAAGGCTCGCTGTGACTCTTGTATCTCCCTATTCTGAACAAACACTTATTTTTTGATCATAAATGTAAGTCCCTTTCTGTAGATCCCTTTATTGTCCCGCAATGGGGAAATAAAAATAGTAATTGAACTTTATTGATCTAACATTGGAGAAATTTACCTTTACATTTAACCCATCCCCTTGGGAAGCAGTTGACTGCCATCATGCGGCGCCCGTAGAGCAGTGTGGGGTTAAGAGTTTTGCTCAGAAACCCAGAGTGGAGGCTATGGGGATCGAACTGTGTATCTGCAAAATTCTCAGAGCACAATTGCACCGCTCTAACCACTAGGTCAACCCTTCCAAACATTCACTTCAGAAGTTTTTTTTTTTTTTTTACTTTTCCAAGCCACAATCACTACTATTTAAAAACATTGATTCTCCAGGAAGTTTCCACTAAAATACCCGGAAACTAGTTGAAACCCCTGACCTCAGGGCATCCAGTCCAGATGAAAGTTTAGAAAGGTTTCTCCTCAACACACCTGATTTAAATGCCACCTCAGCATGTCATCAAGTGATGCAAAAGCCTGTTAGTCACCAGGTGTGAGGTAGCAGGAAAACACATAAAAGCTGCGGCCCATGGGGTCCTGAGAACCAGGATGAGGAACCAATTTCTTTAACATTCAGCAGAAACTTCAGCTTTGCCTCAACGTGTGTCAGGTTATCACAGGTAATATCTCTCCTTAGATCTTCACCAAGTTAGGTGTAATTTCTGGATGTTGAATTTTTCTCAGCATTAGTCACCCAATTAATTTATGCAGCAAACTGAATCTTCTACACAAAGTAGAAAATAATGAATAAAATATTAAAAGAACACAAATGTTATGACATCCAGGTTAAAGATGTAAGAATGGAAACATTTAACAGGGACATTAGGTTTAGTTACAATAATCAAAAAGCAGCACAGCCTACTTGTCCAATCAAATAATGTTTTACCCAATAATTTGAAGCCATGATTCGCTGAAAGGAGAAATGAGCTAGAATGAGCGGAACTGTTGACACAACGCTGGACAAATGTTGAGATCTGTTCCCTTGAACTGAACCAGGAAAACAAACCAGACCATAACTGTCATCTGCATTGATACAGCAGGCAGATAAGAGTGAAAGAGCTACAACATAGAAGTCCAACTGCACAGAAGAAATAAATAAAAGGTAACTTCATAGCAGACTTACTGCAGCTCCTTCAGCCGGCGGGTACAGGGAGACAGGTGAGGAAAGGAGAGAATGGTTAGGGATAAACAGAGATCTGTGAGGGAACCTGCTCCACACCCGGTGAGTCAGCTGATCAGTTTGTGAGTGGACTCTGACACCCCCACTCCCCTCCTCCCACCCATGTCTCACCTCTATGTGTGTTTGTACTTGCAGAAAACGGAGGTGTGCTGCAGCAATAAGGGTCCCACCCTGTTGCTCCAGCAACCGTGACTGTACAAGCAGGCGTGGCTGGGTGGAAACAGCAGCGTGCATGTTGCTGCACGCTGTGTGCGTCTGCATTGTAAAATAGGCTTGTACAGCTGATAATATTTAACTTGGGGATGGGATTCTGCGACAGCCTGAAACCTTTAAAGTGTATTTATATTTTTAGGAATTAAAGCAGTAATAAATGTGTAACTAACATATTCAGCATCTAAAATCTGTTGAAAGGTTTTTTTAATTAACCTCTCAAAACCCACCGGGTTTCCGGCGACCCATTTAAAAGCATTTAACTCTAATAACTCAGAATGCAAGAAAATTACAGCAGTAAAATGTTTAAAAATATAGACAGGGGGGATCTAGGTTTCTTGGTCCTGAGGGTGAAGATGAGAGTGTAGATTATCTGGTTAATCCTGTTCTAATGTAAAATATGACAGGTTACTGGATTAAAAAAAGTTCTAGTATACTACATGCTATCACACATAACAATCCCCCCTCCATAACATGGGATTAAATAAATGTACCTGTGACTCTTTAACTGTTTACTCCTCTCTTCTTCAACAACAAATAACACATATAGCTAATTGATTAAATTGATGTCAGCAAATCGCTGCAATTATTACACAATGAAGCTGAACATTTTTGTCAACAAAAATACTAGACAATCTGCACTTTAAGCTCACTAAGGTCCATTTTTAACACAAATTTGATTTAATCACCACACTGTCATGAAGTGGGATGATGTGCTCAGGAAGATGTTAAGTAATAGCTTTCTAAACCCTATGCTCATCTAACCCAACTTTAAACTTCTACATATTCCATGTAAATAAAATAAATATAGATCATAAATTCCTCATTGAAAAGTGTAGATTGACCGTGAGGTTTTGGTGCCTATCTACTCTGACTACATTGGTTATTATATGGCCACCCTTATTAAAATGTTCTGGCTACGCCTCTGATTCCCGGCCAGAGAGAGAGGTCGACGGCAGCGGTGAGTAAAGGCGGCGCCGTGAAAGAAACGCGGAGTTTCAGAAGAAACGCTGCTGTTATACAAGTATGCGCCAGCAAGGGGCGCTGTTGGTTCACTTTACAACACAACATGGAGAAAACTGGATTTCAGTTATAATGGCTCCAGAACCAAGAACGACTTTATCATTATTTTCATCATTTGCTACCACCTGGTAGAGGCAACTTACCCATTGTTTGTCTGTTAATGGTGTCAGCTATAGATAAAACCGCAAAGAGTAACTGCGTCGCCAACCCACGAACAACCCATTTATAACAGAAAAAAAGTCCGAAACTCCTTTTTTTCCCACGATGTAAACCGATGTAAACCAAAACAACGCCAGAATGTGGTGTGGTTTGTGATCGAAATCAGTTTAATGATCAAGTAAACACATTACATTACAATTGGTTCTAATTACAATGTAGACAATTTTGAATTGTCTCTGCTCAAATATAGGCAGTTATGAGCGATTTTGTTTGCGATAGATTTCACACTGCCCCCCTCCCCTTGTATTAAATAGCGTTAGTTAGTAACCTTAATGGTACCATTGGAAATAAAAGTAAAAGGTGTTGTCAGAAGTGGGATTCGAACCCACGCCTCCAGAGGAGACTACGACCTGAACGTAGCGCCTTAGACCGCTCGGCCATCCTGACACGATGAATTACACAGGTACTAAAGACGACAATATTGTATAAAACGACAACCAATAGTTGGCGAAACTGTTGTTATATTTATTTTAAGTGTATATTATTGTCAGTCCAACGGGTCCCCAATATGTGCAGTTAATTTTTTTGGGGTGGGTTTGTGAAGCTGATATTGCTTTTTCCTTTTTCTGTGTACAAAAATGGCACAAAAATAAACAATTTACCTGATTAGATATTGTAAAGGTTCCCCTTTAAAAGAAACTAAAAGATCTGCCTCCAATTCTACTTTTAGAAATTCTAGGAACCACTAGTACACCTGCAGATTAAGATAGAAGTGGTCTGCTAAGGACATAAGGACCAATCATATCTCTGATATAAGATGGAGCTCCAAGTTCTTTGGGGCCACATAAAACTCTATTTACTGTATGGTTAATACAGCTTTTGCTTATTTGTGCACATTAATTATCCTTTAAAAATAAATACAGAAAAATAAATAAATAATAAATAAATGCTCAATGAATAAATAAGCATACAATTAACTGCCACCAAAAATACAATAAACAAATAAATGTAAGTAGAAATTAAATTATACAGTGAGACCTAACTGTATATAACTCTTTTAATTAGTTTATTTATTTGCCTTTGTAATATTTACCTTATTTATTTCTCTAGTACACACCCCCGCCTCATTTGCATAATGAGGAAGAAATGCATACAGAAATGTAAAAAGGGCAGACAGAAATAAATAGCGGTGAAGAAATAACTAGGGTAAAAAAAATACAAAGGAAGAATAAAACAGACAAAAATATAAAATGCACATAAATAAATACTTAAAAATATAAGTAATTAAAAAATAAAGTTGAAGATTATAAAGGACAAAAAATAAATAAGGTAAATATTACAAAGGCAAATAAATAAAGAAGCTAATTAAAAGAACTGTATAATTTAATTTCTACTTACATTTATTTGTTTATTGTGTTCTTGGTGGCAATTCATTTTATGGTTATTTATTTATTGAGCATTTATTTATTTCTGTATTTATTTTTAAATATGGCAGAGTTGGTCCTCCATAGTTATATAAAACACTTAAAGCGCGGCTGTAGAAGCTGCAGGCTACTGAAGCCTTCGATGAACAGCTGCTGATGGAGAAACACAGCTGGACAGAGCAGCCCGGCTCCCTTTGAGTCCCTCACAGAGTCTCTTTAAACTAGAACCTTGAGATGCTGCATGTGGTAGAGAATTATGCGGCCGACGGTGGGAAAAACAGCGAAGATCGGGGACGTCTCTCCCACAAAATCCTCCGAGCCAGACTGATCACTGCTCCGAACGAGGATCAGGAATCCAATGAACTGGGAGAAGATGACAGACATACCGAGAACTTTAGCAGGTAGGTTATTATTAAACCTGTCAATTACTTCTACAACACTAAGCAGGGCTAATAAATTAGAAGGTCTGATTAAGGTATAATCAACATTAACCTCTATATACAACTTTTTACGGAGAGTCAAATGAGTCCTGTCGGTTTCCAGGGCAACGGCTGTGTAGACCACGTGATAGCTAAAGTCCCACCTGCTCCAAAAGCAGTTTGCTGACGTGTCTAAAGCGCGTGTGCGTGTCAGAACGTTTCTTACGTCATAGAGGCGGTACCACGATCGAAGGCGGTGTCTAGGTTCTAATTACCACCACTCATTTCCTCCAATCATTTCCAAAAGCAGGGTGTGCAGATTTTCTTGTCGTTTGTTGGTTACTTTTAGGTAGAAAAACCAAGAACAGAAATGGCTACGTCAAGTCTACAAGTAATAAGATGCATTTCCATCTCCACTGGAAACTTGGAGGGAATTGTCCTCCCCATGCTGGGAAAACTGTCACCAGCACAGTGGGTTCTCCTTTCACGGGGTCTATCGGATTCACACATATCAAACGTCCTGGGAGATATTATCACCGCCATTTCTCAGCAATGTGTGGAAAATTCATTGAGAGCCCTTTTTCAAACTGAAAATGTATTGAAAACAGCGCCTTGTGAGGTGAAAATCCAGGAGGAAAGTATCAAAGTGAGTTTGACCAATACGATTTCAAAAGAAATTGCAGATGTCCTACAGGTTGAATCGATATTCCACCCTGACAACATGTTTTTAGACATGTTGATGGAAGAGGAGATCTCCGGTAAAGTTACATCCCTTATCAAAGAGATTTTAAAGACACACCCTGAGAAGTCTGGAGTATACGCTAGCCGTTACTCTACCAACCTGAGAAACTTCAGCGAAATGATCCTCAGAACATTGAAATGTCTACAAACACATATAAACCAAGTAAGACCTAGATGTTTTGGAAAATATTGGTACGCATTCGTGAGAAAACAGGACACATCACAAGCGGAGACCACACCGGACTTTTCAGAGGCAAGCATTCTTCGAAGAATCAAAAGTCACTTTGACCACAAGATGGTTAGTGAGAGGATTTCTCAAATATTAAGGAAACATACAAAAGACCTTGAGGAGGTAGATGACTTTGAATTATGCGACCTGTCACATGTAATCACCCAAACTATTTACAAGGACTTTCATTACTGTAGGTCAGAAGGTTCAGCTGTACAGAAAGATCAGAAATGTTCACACATCCCACATTTTGACATGCAAAAAATTATGGATCATATCAGAAGCTTTTTCTTATCAATCCCCAAAACTACTCCAGGTACTCCAGAAACAGCAAGCAATCCAAAATTTTCCATGTTTCTTGAGCAGCAACTCAGAAACATGGTGTCTTCTTTGGAAAAATATCTGCGTTCAACTGTAACAAAGTTGGTAAAACTGAAAGAAGGGAAATGTATCATGTTACCTCAATGCACGTCACAGATTTCATCGACCGAGAACAGCCCAAAACCAGCCAAAAACACAGCCTACTCTCTTGCCATCAAACGTCACATTAAGCAGAGTGGTGCAAAACCCATGGAAAACCCATTTCTGAATGAGCAGAACAAAAATTTTGCAAAGAAACTGACTGATAAATTATATTTTGACATCATGAGGGGCCATTTTCATAGACCTCCTGTTATTCCAAAAGGAGACTTAATTTCAAACCCTGTCATCTCTATGAACAAAGTAAGTGACACTTCTGGCCAGATCCAAATTAGGCCTGAAGTATTTTATGCCAGAACAGCAGATGAGGTAAAGATATTTCTCCAAAATGTCTTTCTTTGGATTGAAAGGGAAGAATCTCATTTCATAAGTTGGAGCGACAGATTGTGCAGTGTGGTCTCAG